GTTGCACTTGGAATGTTATCCAAGCTGAGGATGACTTGGGTTTTTTTGTATGCAGATCTGGCATGGTTTAAACAAACAAGTCATGTGGGTATGCTCTATCTTTCATATACCTGGTGGGTTGCTAATTCATTTGTGGGAGTGGGGAGGAACCATATTACCAGCTGCATCCGCATGGTTCAGTTGTCAAAGCTGTACCCCTCTGCATGATTGCCTGGCAGCAGTAACGTAGTGTAGGTTGCCAGTGCCCGGGGCCACATAAAGATCATGGGTGGGAGGGAGGCAAACAGATGAAGTATGCATGCACATTCAGCTGCCTAACGACATCCACATCACCCAGGAGATCATAGCTACAGAGAGAAGAAAAGAAGAGTTGTTCCGTTGTTTGGAGAGGTCACTTCCTGGTTTGCATAGAGAAGCTGGTTTCAATGGAGCCCAGCGACAGAAGCACACAGATGTATTGAGCCAGCTTTATGTAGTGGTTAAGAGCGGTGCACTCACAATCTGGTGAACTGGGTTCACTTCCCCGCTCCTCCACATGCAGTTGCTGGGTGACCTTGGGCTAGTCACAATTCTCTGAAGTCTCTCAGCCTCACTCACCTCACAGAGTGTTTGTTATGGGGGAGGAAGGGAAAGAATATTATTAGCCGCCTTGAGGCTCCTTAAGGGGAGTGAAAGGCGGGATATCAAGTCCAAACTCCTCCTCCTCCTCCTCCTCTTCTTCAGGCAGCACTGGGTGTTGAAATTTTGTGCCCTCTAACAATTTTGCACCCGGAGCAGCCACACTGTGTGCCCTCCCCCCAATGCTAGACCACTGCCTATCAGTAAGTCCCTCTTACTGCCAAACTTAAAGTAACAATTCTCCAGATTTCCACATCAGTTTGCATTAAAAAAAAAAGTTGGCATGAAAATTCACCAGCATTTCTCCTAACACGCACATTTATTATTATTATTTTTTTGCAAAGCAATTTTCCTTAATATAATTTGGCCGCTGTGACACTTGTGGCAGTAACTTTATATTTAAAAAGGTAAAGGTAAAGGTACGGGCCAGTCATGACTGACTCTGGGGTTGCGTGCTCATCTCGCTTAAGAGGCCGGGAGCCAGCGCTGTCCGAAGACACTTTCGGGTCACGTGGCCAGAGTGACGAAACTACTCTGGCAAGCCAGCACCAGCGCAGCACACGGAAACGCCATTACCTTCCCGCTATAAAGCAGTCCCTATTTATCTACTTGCACTTAAGAGTGCTTTCGAACTGCTAGGTGGGCAGGAAACTTTATATTTAGACTGTTGTAATGTGCTGTATGTAGGGCTTTCCTTTACAGCAGGTTTGGAGGCTGCAGCTGGTGCCGAATGTCATATGAATGACTCATCTGCTCCAAACGCAGGCCTGAACATAAACCAAGGCCATACCATGTTCCTACCTTGATCATAAATGAAGGCAACACGGGCTTCCATAAAATGTCTTTCACAATTTGGGGACATACTTCTTTAAAGTAATGACCTAGATGGGAAAGACTGTTCATATTTGCTGAAAACATATCAGATGTTAAAACTCATTTTATTTAAGTCTTTCAGTGCTTCTAGACGAGGTTGCCTTGATGAACTCTCAGTTACTATACCAACAGATATTTAAGAATCGAAGAGTGAATCAGAGCAAAGTTGTATCTAGTCCAGCATTCTGTTCTCACAGTGGCCAACCAGATGTCAGTAGGAACCCTTCAAATCAGGCCATAAGCTCAACAGGAATCTCTACACTTTTGCTCTTTAGCAACTGATATCAAGTTACCCTTGGTGTATATGAATTCCCAGCACTACAATATGTTTCTGATAATAAACCATTCTTAAACACGAGAAACTAGGTTTCACTATGCTTGCTAGCCATCTTCTGGGAGCTTTATAAAAGAGATAAATCAGTCTTTCATGAAAGAGCACACAAATCCTGAATCCCTTTTAATTAGACAATTAAATCCTAATTAGCTATTAAATTTTTAACACAACTCTGTTAAAGTAGACTCCATGAATTTTTAGCATGTGTCTACATTGGCCATTCTAAGTGCAGTGATGATTGCAACGATGTGAGAGAATTTAATCCCTCTATTTAAACTTGAAGGGTTCCTGAAATGTATGGGCAAAATGTAGCCAGAAAATACCCGTACAGTTTAGGATCATTATAAAAATCCTTTTGCAACAGAACAATAACATTTATAGCATTGTATGGAGTAAATTCAAATTACAATTATCCCTGCATCCATGGAGATGGAGACTGTTTGTCATAGATACTTTATATTGCCATTCACATCAGCTGACATTTGTATTTCTGGACTAGATGACCCTACGGATCATAGAACTCTACAATTCTATGATTCTAAGATTCTTTAAAAGTAGTATGAAGGCAAATCAGATCTCAATAAATTGTCACATACCCAACACTTCTCCGATGAAAATGGAGATGTCTTATTCCATAATAATAATAGTCATTTTATTATTTATACCCCACCCATTTAACTGGGTTGCCCCAGCCACTCTGGCCAGCATTCATCATATATAAAACATTAAAGTTTATAATAATAAAAACTTCCCTATATAGGACTGCCTTCAGATGTCTTCTAAAGGTTGTATAGTTACTTATCTATTTGGCTCAGGGGTTGAATAACTCCATAACCGCTGATGAAAATAGGGGTGTCCTACCGTACCCTCCAATATTTCTCCAATAAAAATAGGGATGTACCAAGGAAAAGGCGACATTCCAGGATCAAATCAGAAAACAAGACAGCTTCTGTAAATCTGGGACTGTCCCTGGAAAACAGGTGCACTTTGAGGTCTTTTGACATATCCCTAATAATTGTAGTTAAACCACAGAGCCTAGGACTTGCTGATCGGAAGGTCGGCGGTTTGAATCCCCACAACGGGGTGAGCTCCCGTTGCTTGGTCCCTGCTCCTCCCAACCTAGCAGTTCGAAAGCACGTCAAAGTGCAAGTAGATAAATAGGTACCGCTCCGGCGGGAAGGTAAACGGCATTTCCATGCACTGCTCTGGTTCGCCAGAAGTGGCTTGGTCATGCTGGCCACATGACCTGGAAGCTGTACGCCGGCTCCCTCGGCCAATAAAGCGAGATGAGCACCGCAACCCCAGAGTCAGCCATGACTGGACCTAATGGTCAGGGGTCCCTTTACCTTTACCTAATAATTGTAGTGGATTCTTGTAATGCATTCTGTGTGGAGCTGTGCTCAAAGACTATCCAGAAACTGCAGCTAATGCAAGTACCTGGCTATTAAGTGGGACATCCAAATGGGAACATTTAAGGTAAATGGCGTTTCACACACTCTGGCTTCTGTTACGGTGCCCTGTTGCACCAGAAGCGGTTTATTCATGCCTGCCACATGACCCAGAAAGCTGTCTGCAGACAAACGCCAGGTCCCTCTGCCTGAAGCGAGATGAGTACTGCACCCCATAGTCACCTTTGACTGGATTTAGCCATTCAGGGGTCATTTACCTTTCACCTTTACCTTTTTTTACCTGCAACAAAACAAGGCAAAGAGAGCCCAAAATTCAATGGGATATGTAACTGCTTTGAAATGTTCAAGGACTGGATCCATTTAACTGAATTTTTGGTAATGTATTCCTAATATTTTTAAAAAACGAAGACCCTTATTTAAATGGATAAGTTGGGGGAGAGGATACCCATTTCCCAGCCTATCATTAGATCATAGAAAAGCAAAGTGCTCACCATCCATAGCATGCACAGGGACTGCTAATAGGTTTTTGTTTCTCTGTTTGGAGTCAGAGAGTAAGTTTTCTTGTTAGCTCCTAGCCCTCGCAATGCACTGCTCTTGCTGTACCTTTCAGAAAGCTGGAGTCTGACTTGTTAGGGGTCTCGGAGGAAAACAAGATCAATAACTTGTCACAGCAAGAGATACTTTACTGTCTGCAGGGTGCTGTAATATATAGCATAGTGCAGGAGGGAGGGGGGAAATCCCAATTCTCAGCTTTGTGCAATTGAGCAGGCGGCTATTAAGGAAGTTAAACAACTTTTTTCCTAGTAATTTAATCCCCAGATCATTAAGCACAAATGTCACTTTGTAGATGTGCTTCTATGTTTGAAGCTCCTCTGGAAGAAGACAGGGCGGGGGGAGAGCAGCATATGAAACATGCTCTTGGCTTTGATTAGTTTAAGGCTGCTGATTGGTATGTTGTGCCTCTTTATTTAGAGGCAAGTCTTTCAAAAATTTGCAATTTCTCCAGAGTGTGTGGTGATGGAAAGCTACTGAAAGCAACCAAAGGCTATAAAACCTCTTCATTTTCACATCATTCCCCGCAATCCTTCACCTCTCACATTTCACAGAGTGATAACCTGCCGCATCCCTGCTGACTGAACACAATTGTCTTTATTACAGATAGCTGTGGCAATATATTGACCTTGCATTCCTATAATTTAATTAGCACAACTGGCAATTAATTGTTTCCTTCTGCAATCGGCAATTTACATCCGTGCCTTCTGACCTCCTATGTTTAGGAGTGCATTCTCTTTAGGTACAGTGAAACAAGTGAACAAACAAAACGAAATAATTTGATGATGGGCTATCATTTGATAAAACTGCTTAGCAGCTCTTTTATGTGATTTTGCACGAATGGGTAAGATATAAGCAGTTTGTTGCTTCTGTTGCCTTTTGTTTGTAGTTGTAATGTGCACAAATGTTTTTTGAGGTTGAAAAGCGCTGTAGAAATACAGGTCATGATCCATCCTGGCACAGGCAGAAATTAATATTCTAAGGAAAGCCTTCTGTAGCCTTTTCAGACTTACTATGGAGGTGCTCACATGACTTCATGTGCATCACAATGTTAATTTCCACACAGGCCAGGAAGCCTATGTATGCTGCATCCTTAAACTCATGCAGCCATTGCTCTGCCCTCCAATGCCTTGGTGTGCAGGATACTGAAGCCCCAACACTCCTGATGTGCTCACTGGCCAGTGTATTACACTGCATACTTGCCATTGACAAAGGCCAGTATCCACCTAACTCAATTGGCAGAGCATGATACTCTAAGTCTCAGGGCCATGGGTTTGAGCCCCATGTTGAGCACAAAGATTCTTGCATTGCAGAGTATTGGACTAGATATCCCTTTGTCATGAGCCCGAGTCAAACATAGGTCATCAGTTAAAAAAACACTGTGTCAGTGAAGTTAGCTCTTTGTTTTTTTAAAAAAACTGAATCACTGCAGGGCTAGTGATTCCAGCTGTTCTTCCCAGTAGGTCTTGCTCTGATGAGGCAGTTGCAAGGACTGAAGGTCCCTGCCTCCCCTGCCCCCGCTCTCTAAGACTCCTCTTCTCCAGGGTATTTCCCAAGCAGATGCAAATTGCATCCACACACAACCAATTTCTGCCATGCTCATTTCATTTTTCTGTGTGTTTTAGGAGTCCAGGAGGGAGGGGAACTGGTCTCAGCAGGAGAGGTAGACTCCCTAGGTTTTTCAGCAGCCTGCCTCATCTCTGTCTCTTGGCTTCTCTCCTCTCCAGACCCCACTTCAGCTTTGGAGTCTGTACAGCTCTCTTCCACAGCCTCTTCCTGCTCACTAAACCCTGTTGCCTCTTCTGCTTCCAACACCTCCTCCACCCTGTCTGCTCCTTCTTCTCCCTCTGACCACTCATCATCATCTTACCACCAGTCCCCTGACTCCGAGCCTTCTTCCCTTGGGGGTTCCCCAGCTGATGCCTCCCACCACTCCTTGGCATCCAGCCAGTCCATGAGACCATTGAGGGCCCTTCCAATTCTACAATTTTATGAGTCATATTACTCTAAAGGGCGGGAACTATGCAGCATCAAGCCCTATGCTATGCTATACTCTCATAGAAATGGGTTCTGCTCAATAAATTCTTATGTTCAGATGCCTTGAATCCCTCTTTATCTGCGTGCCAGTGCGCAGGGGTGAGGATTGATTAGACAGACTCTCTTCTTTTCTTTTTTTAAAAATATTTTTATTAGAAATTTCAACATATCAAATTATCAAACCATATAATCACTTACATTATTTTCCCCCTTTCCCCCCTCCCTTCCATCCTTCCCTTCCCCCCACCAAAGACTTCCCTCAGCTCCTCTCTCTGATTTCTCAGCACATATTATTCTCTGCATGTTATAAAATGGTGCATATCCTTACATTATCTATCTAACATGTTATCAACCAATACATTTGTGTATGTTTATTCAAAACCGAGGAATCCAGTTCATTTTGTTGTCTTTTTAGATAATTTGTAAAAAGCTCCCATTCTTCCTTAAAGTCACAGTTGTCCTTGTCCTGCAATTTATATGTCAATTTAGCCAACTCTGCATAGCTCATCAATTTTTCTTGCCACTGTTCTTTCGTTGGGATTTCCTCATTCTTCCATCCTTGTGCACTCAAGACTCTTGCCGCTGTTGTAGCATACATAAATAAATTATTTGTTTTTCTTGGCAGGTCTTGTCCTACAATCCCTAACAAAAATGCTTCTGGGGTTTTTTTACAAATGTCATTTTAAACATTTTTTTTTCAAGTCATTGTATATCATTTCCCAATTTTTAAAAAAATTTCTCTACATTCCCACCAATGCACAGCTGATGGTTCTCTTGTCCAGTTCACCACTCAGCCATAAGGTTCCCCTGTTTTACTGCCTGAAGCCCCCAATGAAGCATGTTCTTCTTCTGATCCCCACCTTTCTTACCTTGGTCCTTATACAGCTGACAGGAACCAGCCAAGGCTTTGCAATATTCAGGGGAAGTATACCATTCCCTGAAACACTGCCCATGTTCCCAGATATGTCCTCGGGTACTAAATGGCAAGTTATCTGCATCCTGAGCTTGCACGTTTTCTCTGTGCAGCTTCCCTGTGAATTATTTTCAAGGTGCAAGGTCTACAGACTGAAATCCACCTCCCACCTGCAGCTGAGAGGTATAAATCAAGGTGAAAGCTAAAGGTGGGGCTGCCATATGTCCTGATTTCCCCAGACATTACCAGAATTTCAAAGGCAGAATTGAATGGCGGCGCTTTGTCCTGGATCTTAGGCAAGTCAATCAAAAAATTGAAACAATTTTTGGGGGGTGTCCTGGTTTTTACTTTTTGAAATATGGCAACCCTACTAAAAGAAGGCTGAAAAGCTGAGAAGGGAACAATATTCCAGTACATTGTTGTCAGTCACCTGAGTCCACAGATGCCAGCAGAGTTGCACCAAGCTCTGCCAAGCCCAAATGTTCTATATATACAGCATTGTCTGTGTTTGGTTTTTGCATGACAAAATGGTGCTTCACTTTCCAAGAAATGCAAGTAGCTGTCCTGAAATCCAAAGTGCCTCATTAAAAAATGTTTCAAAGATACCATCCAGACTCATGGAGAGGGAGCTGATTTAGAAAAGGTTGCTTTCCCCCCTGTTTTTAAAGATCAGATCTAGATTCTCATAATGAAAATAAATGGGGGTTTTTCTGCCCGCAAAGCATGAATTCTCTATGTTCTGAGTCATCTGAGATGCAAACACAAAGCAGAGGTTCTTTCCCCCTCTAGGTAATCTAATTCTTTCTTATTTGTTTCCGTTGTGCTACTAAAAATAGACATAAAAAGATAATGAAGGGAACAAAATAGCCAAGGTAGGAGCATGTCTGAACTGCATTGTTCTCTATTTAAATTACAATGCCAAATAATGTTTTGGGGATTCCTTGGGGAATATTGATAAAGTAATGTATTTAAGGTGGAGGAAAGAGGTGCAAAATAACTGAAAAAGTACCAGAGGGGACAAATGGGGGTGTGGGACTGCCCCAATTCTCAATTCTATTTTAAATAATATTTATTAAAATTTTCCAATCAAACCAAATTATATATTCCAAATTTTACAAATTATCCAATAATCAAACAAATCCCAATGTTATGCCTAATTATAGATTATTATTATTATTTAGCTGACTTTCCATGCTTTGAGATTGGAGGGAATCCTAATCATCTCATATTTCTACTGCATTTCAAAATATTACAATAATTCCCTTAATACATTCTGATATTAATCCTTCATTATTTTCAACAGCCTCTGCACCCCAATTCTCAATTCTATATCCCCTCTCTGCCAGTTTTCCCGGGGTGTTTTCTTTCTTTTTCTTTTGCCTCCAACTGGTCCATTTGGGTGAACAGAGTACTGCCCCACCAAGCTCAGTCTGCCTCAACTTCCCTGCCTTCTTATTTACAACCATTCAAGAAATGGCTCTGCCCATCATTGGATATGGCTTCCCAAGGTTGTTAGGAAGAGTCCCTTCCAGCAACCAAATGCTTGGGTAGACCGGTGTGTTTTTAAATGATGATGATGATGGAAACAGACACACTTAACTTGGGAGAACATTCTGCAAATGGACAACTACCACCAAGAAGGTTATGCCATGGGAGAACACCAACTAGGCCTCAGATGTTTGGTGTTGTTGGAGGTGCTCTTTTAGGTACTTAATTTCCAGAATATTTAGGGCTTTGTATGCTAGTGCTAACACCTTGACTTTGGCCCAGTAGCTCACATGGCAAAGAAAATATAGTTCATACAGAAGTAGCAATTTAAGCAATGGCATTTTTATCCTATTTTTAGCTTCCCTGATACAGTGAGACACTATTAAGGGGAAAGATGCTAGAGAATACAGCCACTTTCTGATAGCAAAGATGCAGCAGATTTGAGTTTATCTTAAACAACAACAACAGCAACAATCACATATTGCCAGAAAGAGGCAGGTAGGCAATTAGCAATTTACAGCATTCAGCCTCAGGTGACTGACTCAGAGTTACCAAGGAATTAAGAGTTAGAAAGCAGAAGGTCTCTTTGATCAAACACACCACAGAGAATGAGAGGGAAACAGAATGAGGAGGGGGGCGGGAGAAAGAGCAATCTTAGGGGAATTGAGACTGATCCCTAAGTCCCAGAGCTGGAGGGTAAAACTAAAGTGATTTGATGCTGTTTCCTGTTTCCTATGCATCTGATCAAGCTGGGGAGAGCAAAAGTTTGTATGACATGTTGTCAGGTTGTAAGCCAATAGAATAAAAATAGAGGGCTGTATACAACTGATGCTCTTCCATAAGCACACAGGCTTCTGATCCAACAGGAAGCATCCAGTAATCAAGGAGAAGGAAAGGTTAGTTTTGCCATTTCCTCTTCTCTGCTGCAGCCCCCAGTGCTCCCTAAGGGCCTATTCTGGAGGATCCCCTAACCCTTCAAAACAGATTTTTGGAGGGTAAGGCACTGCGGACAGCAGGAGGGAGGGGACTCAGCAAACATTTCCTCTACTTGTCCCCCATTAGTGGAGGCGTCTACTAGATCAACAGTGCTAAGAGGACTAATTGGATCCCACCCATACACTGAGCATTGCTTGCTCCTAGAACATCAGAAGTGTCTCCTTGTAAAAGAGAGAGAGAGAGAGGATGTGCAAATGAGTACCATTTGAGAACAATGATAGGCAGCACTAGTCATTGATTGGGGAAACCTAGATAGAACATGCATGTCCGATCATGTATATGCATGTGCAAACAGCTACACCCAAGAGATAACCAGGACAAAGGCTGACATGGTGGATTGCATGCTAATTGCAGAACGTGCACAGAGGGGCTCAGCACTTGAACCCTGGCTACCTGCAACCTCTCTGCAACAGGAGCCTTGAGTACTTAACTAGACTCCCACTCCAAGCATGGCCACAGGTACACTTAGAAGAAATAAAATGATGCTTTATCAGTACAGGCTCAGATACACAGAAAAGGCAGGTGCAGGTGCTTCAGGTTACAGACGCTTCAGGTTACAGACTCTGCTAACCCAGAAATAGTACCTTGGGTTAAGAACTTTGCTTCAGGATGAGAACAAAAATTGTGCTCCGGCGGCGCGTCAGCAGTGGGAGGCCCCATTATCTAAAGTGGTACCTCAGGTTAAGAACAGTTTCAGCTTAAGAACGGAACTCCGGAACGAATTAAGTTCTTAACCCAAGGTACCACTGTATAGGAGCTCTTACAAGGTGAAATGTTAGCAGGAACAAGTTTGGTCAAGGAGGAAAGGGCAGTGTACGTAAGTCTGAGATCATTAACATGAATTCGGAGGTGGCATGTA